GTAATCGACAACGTTACTTATATTCGTATTAAAGTAGGGTTTCGAGACTACCAGTAAATCAGTGTAATGGGGCTTCACTTTAATTGGTCAAAAGTGATTCATATATCGGTTGTGTAGGCTGCTATGCGGGTTTGTCAATATTTTGTTACTTCCTTATAATTTTGTTTGATAAATCCATTTTAACCTTGGCTTGTCTTCAGGAAAAACCAGAATTAGGCATTAAATAACATTGAGTCCGAGTAGGGTGACAATCTGTGGCCGCTTAAGATGATTTGGGGACTGATAGGTGAGTATTTCCCACAATGTTATGAGTTGGCTCAAGGAATTCATTGTATTTCAATTAATTTTATTGCTCCAAAAGGAGATTTCATTTAGTCTTTACCCCGCCTAGGTCTCATCAGCACTCCCACTGCGATTCAATATATGGTCGTTAGTATCATATCAACGTCTACCACTCCAGTCCACTACATGACCACGTGTTCCACTGGGTCACAAGGGAAATGCGGCATTCCAAGCAAGCGAGGCCATTCCTGAATCACATTTTTTCTGCAAAGAAATGTTGGGTTCCGAGGTAATCTCCTTCGATTCCGGTGATATAGTACTAAGCCCTGGTCCGTCATATGACGGACATCATCAGAGCGAGGTAACATCGTCACAACAAAATTTAAGCTAAAGAGTCAAGAAAACTCACCGGAAATCCCTAAAAAGTGGTATATATACTTTACATCTGGCCTCTTTGATCAATTATAAATTGATTTGGTTAGTTAATGTCAACTTCGATGCATGTAAGTGTCTGTCTCTGTATTTGTATGTGCCTGTTTGTGTTCGCTTGTGCACGAAACCCGCAGTGATGGCTCAAAGTAATTAGGACAGGAAAAAGGAACGTCTGTTTTTGGCCATCAAGGTTTGATGACCACTATCTCACCCTTTCTATAAACATGTTATAGCCATCAATCCGATTGCGCAAGGTCGGACACTCGTCTAGTTTTTTGATGAGCCTTTTATTTGTTTTGGTCTCAATGCGAGAGAGAAAGAGTGAGATAAAAGTACATAAAAGTGACTATCATTAGAACCAAGACAAGAAAAGACTAGTTGCTTCGCCTACTTTTTGCAGGCGGCTCAACTCCCTCTCTCTGCGTCAGTCTATTAATTAAGCACAAATAAATTG